TTGATTGCTACAAACCTTAGCATACCTGAGCCAATAGTATTCATCCTGTCCTGTATCTGTTTAAAATAATTATAAATCCATGGAGCGTGTAAGACATTAAACACTTGATCCTTCAGAACAAAAGCAATGGTCATGGCGCAGGAGATGAGCAGAACACGCTTGAGGGAATGAATTTCTGTTTAATGGTTAATAAAAAATAAATGGATGGTTTGTAAGACTATGGAAAGATTCTGCTCATTTAGAACAGTGCTGCGTAATTTATCCTATGAGAGATGCTGGGCTTGCACTGCTGTTGACACAGTTTTGATGTGGACTGGGTATGTTTTATTGCCGTTAAGTGACTGGAGAATGTGCATATTATTCATGGCAAATTAGAGAATAAACAGTAAGAAATGGTGATAGGGACATCTAAAGCCATGTTCTCCATTTTAAACATTGTTCTATCTGTAAAAGAGTGACAAAAAGGGACATATCCTGAAAAAAAAAGATATTTTATAATAAAACAGATTGATCTACTAAATAAACGCCCTACAGCTTTCAGTTTCAAAGTTGTTAAAATACATTCAAGCATAAAACAGCTTACAACTGTAATAATATTTCACAATATTAACCTTTGGAAGGGTAGTGTACACTTAACGCATATTTCATTGTAAACAAGTTTGAAAATGTATCAAGATATGTATCCAGATATCCTGATATTTTATGTTGACTATACAGATAGTAATACAACATCTGTAATACAGTACATGCATTTATTATAAAATACAGTAATAAAAAGTGTTGGAAAAAGTTTGCAGTATATTGCACATTGTGGCCTTGGTGTGTGTGTGTGTGTGTGTGTGTGTGTGTGGCTGGTGATTGATCGATTCATGATTCACTCTCTCAGTATCAGGCGTCTGCTCCTGTGTTTAATTCTCATATTTGTCTGTAACGCTGAAAAGTTTAAGGACAAAATGTATTTTAACACAATGTGCTTGACTCAGCTTTTGTCTGCCTTCTTTTCTGTTGCTGCTGTCTAACTAATTTTGAGTAGCACTTAAGCAAGAAAAAAAATGTATTGCCTATGAAATGATGGACAATGTGGCAAAGGGAACAGTGTATTACAGAGAAATATGTTCTCTTTCAGTCGGTCACTCTCGATGTCACGTCGGATGACCAACGAATTGGGATCTCGCCTAGAGAGACCAATCCACTTCGAGTGTAAACTAAACGAGCCAATGCACATTGGCATGCGATTATTTCATCCAGCTGCCACTGATCACAGCATGAGCATAAGTAGGCAGCAGATGCAGCGCATATTCAGCTTTGCGCTTCGGAGCCGAGCCGTTCTATCGTTCTGCTCCTGACCTTCTGCTTACCGAGTGAATCTACGGTTAGAGTTCAAGCACGCTCTTCGAGGGCTCTCGTGCTGGCGGTACGGTGCTTCAGCGGCGGTGGTTTTCCCGTGTCGAGTGGGTTGCACACATCAGGCTGCACTACCCCCTGTGTGTGTTGCAAGCGGCCATCTCCCCTGTGCGCTTCAGCACACTAAAAGAGCATTTCTAAAAGAGCATTTCTAAAACAGCTCTACGGGTGGAACGTCTTTTTAAAGACGTGTCTTTTTAAAGATGCCTTTCCATCCGTGCGTTTCTGGATGCGGTCGATACCTGGCGCCGGGTGATGGTCACGATCGCTGCCTCTCGTGTCTGGGCATTAAGCACGCTGAGGCGGCTTTCGTGGACGAGTCATGCTCCCATTGCGGGAGTATGACCGTCTCTGAGCTGCCGGCACTCCGAAACCAGTGGGGCTGTCAAGAGAGCAGGCTGGACCCTCAAAAAGGGTACCACCTGTATCTTCCGAGGCTCCCTCCGATGCAGCGATCGACATCCGATCGTCGGGGGGAGACTCGGAAGATACAGGTGGTACCCTTTTTGAGGGTCCAGCCTGCTCTCTCGACAGCCCCACTGGTGTCGGAGTGCCGGCGGACGGAGGAGCCCCCCGATGATCGGATGTCGATTGCTGCATCGGAAGGTGAGCCAGACTTTTCTGGGGAGGAAGATCCGTCAGCGCTGCCGCCTTCTGGGCGGCCAGCGGTGCCAGATCCGGATCCGGAAATGATGGCTATGTTTTCCCGGGCCGCTGAGAGTGTCGGGTTTGAGTGGAATCTTCCACCGCGTCCCGAACCCTCGAGGTTGGACGATTGGTTTCTCAGGGTGGCTCGCGCTGGTTCTCAGGGCCCCACCCCAGTGCCTTTCTTCCCGGAGGTGCATGATGAGATCACTGGGTCATGGACAGCACCTTTCACTGCCAGAAACCGCCCCAGTGGCTCATCCTCCCTCACCACCCTCGATGGGGGTCCAGAAAGCAGCAGATGCCCCTGTCTTGCGTGCAGAGATCGCAGTCCTACTGGCGAAGGACGCGATAGAGCCGGTTCCTCCAGCCGATATGAGGTCGGGGTTTTACAGCCCTTACTTCATTGTACCCAAGAAAGGCGGTGGGTTGAGACCTATCTTGGATCTGCGCGTCTTGAACCGGGCCCTTCACAGGCTCCCGTTCAAGATGCTCACGCAGAAATGCATCTTCAGGTGTATCCGTCCCCAAGATTGGTTCGCAGCGATCGACCTGAAGGACGCGTACTTTCATGTGTCGATCCTTCCGCGCCACAGGCCATTCCTGCAGTTTGGGTTCGAAGGACAGGCATATCAGTACCAGGTCCTGCCCTTTGGACTGTCCCTGTCAACCCGTGTCTTCACGAAAGTTGCGGAGGCGGCCCTTGTTCCCCTGAGAGAACAGGGCATTCGCATCCTCAACTACCTCGACGACTGGCTCATACTCGCTCAGTCTCAGGATAAGTTGTGCGAACACAGGGACTTGGTGCTCTCACACCTCTGCCTGTTGGGCCTTCGGGTCAACTGGGAAAAGAGCAAACTCTCCCCGACGCAGAGGATCTCTTTTCTGAGAAGGCTAAATCCTCCACGGCCCCCCTCTATACCCTCTTGGGACCTGACTCTAGAGCTCACAGCACTACAGCAGGGCCCATTTGAGTCTTTGCAGACAGTCGAGCTGAAGTTTCTGTCAATGAAAAATCTACTCCTGCTTGCACTGGCCTCCATCAAGAGGGTAGGGGACCAGCACGCATTTTCGGTCGACGATTCATGCCTAGAGTTCGGGCCGGCCGCCTCCCAGGTAACTCTGAGGCCCTGGCCCGGCTATGTGTCCAAGGTTCCCCCTACTCCCTTCAGGGATCAGGTGGTGAGCCTGCAAACGCTGCCCCCGGAGGAGGCAGACCCAGCCCTAGTTTTGCTCTGTCCCGTCCGAGCCTTAAGGTGCTACGTAGACCGGACACAAAGCTTCACGACCTCAGACCAGCTCTTTGTCTGTCATGGAGGCCGGCAGAAGGGGAATGCCGTCTCTGAGCTGTGGGCTGGGCAACCCCTAACACGTTCGTTATATTCTATAGCCTTCGTGTGGAGCCGGTATCCTCCTGTGTTCTCACCTTAAAGGTGACGTGACATGTGGCCAAGTATGGTGACCCATACTCGGAATTAGTGCTCTGCATTTACCCATCCAAAGTGCACACACACAGCAGTGATTGGGTTACGAGTCTGACTCTCGGGTAGAAGCACTGAGTGGCCCCGGCTTCGGGTCGGCTATCTAAAACTGCTCCAGAGAGTCCGTATAGTAGACCTTGTTGAGCTCCTGCGTCCCCTCGGCAGCCAGACGTGGTGGAGCGTCCGGCGCCAGGCCCTCACTCGATGAATCCGTGAGAACCGGTAGAAGGCTGGGTTCCATATGTAGAGGCCTAAGTGGTTCCCATATGTGTAAAGTCCACGGTATAGCCTCAGTGTGTTTCCCCGACAGACTTCTGCCATTCCATGAGGATTACAATCACCTCCAATTTTCCATATGCACCTAACTCACGCTGTGATCAGCGGCAGCTGGATGCAATAATCGCATGCCAATGTGCATTGGCTCGTTTAGTTTGCACTCGAAGTGGATTGGTCTCTCTAGGCGAGATCCCAATTCGTCGGTCATCCAACGTGACGTCTCCGTTCCCTCCTTCAGGGAACGAGGGTTACCATACGTAACCGAGACGTTTCTCATTTTTCAGACATTTACTGTTTTGAACACAGCCTGATGGTCACTGTTGTCTTCTGTTGAATGCTGTATTATTAATAAAACATTGAAAATATGCAGACCAGTCCTTTTTTCTTTCTATATACTTCAAGTGCACCCTTGACTTGTTTTTGTTGTCCCTTGAGAGTGTCTTTTTGCACTTTTCTTTGTTGCAAAATATCACAGACTGAAATGAAGGCAATTTTATATCACTATGTCATTCAATCTTTTTCACAGACGAGCAGCAAAAGAAACACAACTTGCAGGGGCAATTACTTTCTTCAGAGTTTCCAAACATGTCCATCTGTTCTCATAACTGCACAATGTTGTTGGTATCAGTGTTTCTTTAGACGTTTTAAAGTTTCTGGTTCTGGTAAAAATAACTCTGTGGTTTTAAGTGCAATCTTTTTAAGACATTACCATCACAATTTGGGTACAGACAAGGAAGGATATTTGTTAAGATGTGAAAAATATGATATTATATATATATTGAAAAATAATATATTATTATATATTAAAGATGGCCAGACACTGACTCAACCCTAGAGGAAATATTTTTGGTGGGATGATTTATGAGCAGTGACTACAGAAGTGCTATAATTTGTATTTCATCATTGTTATAACATTTGTTTTTTCATCTGTTTGACTTTTCACAATCTGTCCAGCTCAGTTTCCAACTTGTGCAATGTAGTACACTAAATTTATCATTTTATGAAAGTAACTTTAGTTTTCAATTTTAGTAGGATGAATATTCTTAACAGACCTCCACTGTTCTGAATTAGGGCTGCACGATAAATCGCATGCGATTTATCGTGCAGCCCTATTCTGAATGCAGTGATTCATAGGTGTATGTATGATAATCATAGTGTTTTTGGATAGAAGCACTCAGATCTCCTCTTTGGCAGGGTATGATGTACTTGGAGGAGAGGCGGCTGGTGCACAGGGACCTCGCGGCCCGTAACGTCCTGGTAAAATCTCCGAACCACATCAAGATCACTGATTTTGGACTTGCTCGACTGCTGGATGCTGATGAAAAGGAGTATAATTCAGATGGAGGCAAGGTCAGTATTGACAAGCTGAGACACACTAGTTCTGAAAAACTCATAAAACTTAATATGTGGTTTGGATTCATTTAATTCATTTTAAGTTATTTTTTAATTCATGTGAGTTGGACACAAAAAAAATGGTAGAGAGAATGGTAGTTTCTTGATTGTATTTCTAATTTCTAATCATATTGCAAATTGGACTGTTCTTTGTTTTTTCTTTAGAATTTCACAAATGTATGTTTTAATTATACAGATTGCATTACTCCATGTATTATTACATCCTGATGAGAATTCTCTCTTATGTAGATGCCCATTAAGTGGATGGCCCTGGAGTGCATTCATTACAGGAAGTTCACACATCAGAGTAATGTATGGAGTTATGGTGAGTAAAACACTTTTACAGTGTCCTAGTTTTACTTAAATCAGTTAGTAGTATAGTATAAATTTAAAGCAATCCTTCACTAGTCAATGATAAGGACTTATTTGTAAGTCAACGCTACTCATAGCGTAGGAGAGTCAAATTATATATATATATATATATATATATATATTTAGGCTTTAAATTGAATTTTAAATACAGAATATTGTCAGACTCTGTTCCGTGTTTTGTGGTTGTGTTGCTCCTCATGTGCCTTCCTTTCCCATGTTTAATTTGTCCCAGGTGTTTCCCATGATGTGTCATTGCTCCCAGGTGTGTCTCGTCATCCCCTCCTCCTGTGTGTATAAATAGTGTTCCCTGTGTGTGTTCCAGCGTCCGGTATTGTTTATGTCTACTCCTCGTGCTACGTGTGATTCCCCGTGAAGATTAATAAATTCCTTGGTTGTTGTACTCTTGGTCTCCTCGTTCCTTGCTCCGTGTTCCCGCACCGTAGCAGATCGTGACAAATATACACTGAACAAAATTATAAATGCAACATTTTTATTTTTGTCACCATTTTTCATGAGCTGAACTCAAAGATCTACGACTTTTTCTATGTACACAAAAGGCCTATTTCTCTCAAATAGTGTTCACAAATCTGTCTAAATCTGTGTTAGTGAGCACTTCTCCTTTGACGAGATAATCCATCCACCTCAGGCAAAAACAAAAGTGTTGCGTTTATAATTTTGTTCAGTGTATTTGGGCTCAGTAAGTTTTTCTTTTTTTTTTTTAGAAACTTGTACTTTTATTCAGCAGAGATGCATTAATTGATCAAAAGTGACAGTGATCTAAAATAGTAAACAACACCACTGTTTCCAGCACTGATATTAAGTAGAAATGTTTCTTGAGCAGGAATTCAGCATATTTGTTATATGGGCGTTATATGGGCGACCGAGACGAGAGGCGTGCGGATCCATCTGCAGAACTTTATTTACAACGTGATTACAAAACAAGCAAGGGTCGGACATTGGCAAACAGGCATATCATGGATAAGACAAAAGAGTAGTCTGGTAAACAGGCGTGGTCGATCTCCGGTGAACAATGTCCAAACAGGGTAATCCAAATGGGTAATCCAAAACACAGGCAATAGTTCAGGCGAGGGTCAAACAGAGTCCAAACAGAGCAGGGCAAGAGAATAATCCAAAGAAAGGCAAGATATCCAAAACCGACTAGACTAAACAGGCGAAACAGACCAAGACTAGAAACTAGGCAAACTTGGGATGGCTCCGTAATGTTGCTATCACAGACGTAGCGATATGCGCAAACAATACTCGGCAGTGAGGAAGAGGAAGTCCATGGCTTATGTAGGGTGTTTGATTGGTTACAGCTGTGTGTGTAATCAGTGCAATGGATGATGGTAAATGTAGTCCGGGGTGACATGCAACAGTTTGTGTAGTGTGAGAGTCAATGTAACTGGTAAACAATTAAATAAGATACAATTTCTAAATAAAAAGTTGTATGTAATAATAAAAAAAGCTTAGTTTTTTTGTATGTAATAATAAAAAAAGCTTAGTTTTTTTTACTTTCTCAAATCTGTCTGTATACCGAATGTGATGTGTTGACTATTGTTATTCAGGGGTGACTATCTGGGAGCTGATGACGTTTGGAGGAAAGCCCTATGATGGGATTCCCACACGTGAGATTCCAGACATCTTGGAGAAGGGCGAACGTTTGCCCCAGCCGCCCATCTGCACCATAGACGTCTACATGGTGATGGTGAAATGTGAGTGTTATGTAGAATCATGAATGTGATCAGTAGCTCAAATTCTACAGAAAGGTACTAGCACACATACGGTTCAGTGATGGTAAATCATGGATGTGTAGTATTTGAAAGACACAGTAAGGTACTTCAAAGAATTCCAATGTATTACAATAACTTTAATGTACACAAACCAGCATTACTGTGATTTTTCTATGCTATCATTTTTATACTAATACCGTGATATTTTATTTAGCAAGATACATGCAATCACATGGTTTTTAGCCCAGCCGCTCGCCATGTTTGGCCAGACAGTCTTGTGGACTGTGGTAATAAGCAGCTGGGTGAGCGGTGGGGTTTCTCAGCCGGTTCAATCAAATAAACACAAAGAGATGAAATGAGACACGGACTAAACCCATTAATTCGAATTACATTTTCACTGTAAGCTGTTGTTTGTGATTCTACTCGCTGTGACATCTGTAGCCCCACGGACAATGAAATGTGAAATATTGATGGAGATGAAACGTGGTGTGATTGCGTGAGTAATTGCTGCTCATTTGGATAATGTGTTTGAGTATGAGAACTGAAAGGAAATTAATTGGGAGAAAATAAGGAGCAGGCTGCTGCAAGGTGAGGGCATGTTACTTCCTGTCAGAGACATAATAGAACTGTAAGAAGTTCAGTAATTTGGGGTAATGTGGAAAGAAAAAACAGCTCAATAAGATGCAAATGAGTCTGTCCGTCTATCTATAGTGCCCTCCACTAATATTGGCACCCTTGTTAAATATGAGCAAAGGTGGCTGTGAAAATAAATCTGCATTGTTTATCTTTTTATCTTTCATTCAAAAAGTAAAACAATTGAAAGTGGAACTCACATTATTAAATTAATGTTTTTCTCCAATGCATGTAGGCCAACAATTATTGGCACCCCTAAACATTTTTATGAGTAAAATATCTCTGAAGTATATTCCCATTCAGATGGGACTGGCTTCTATGGTCAGATGAAACAAAAAAAGAGGCTTTTGGCAGCAAACCCACCAGATGGGTTTGGTGCAAATAGGGTTAAAAAGTACCCCATGCCCATGGTGAAATATACTGCTGGATTTTTACTGGCCTATTTTTCTGAATGATTGGTTACAGCTGTGTGTGTAATCAGTGCAATGGATGATGGTAAATGTAGTCCGGGGTGACATGCAACAGTTTGTGTAGTGTGAGAGTCAATGTAACTGGAAGGCAACATCTGGTGGCGAGCAGACGGAAAACCACGGACCAGATTCATGACAATATTAGAATGATTTCTGGAGAATCATGCGACACTGAAGACTGGTGTAATGATGCTCAAAATTCAGCTTTGTGTCACAGGAATGAATTACTTTTGAAAATATATAACAGTTATTTTAAATTGTAAAATATTTTTGATCAAATAAATGCAGCCTTGATGCCCATAAAATATTTCTTTTAAAATATATTAAAAGAAAAATATTACAGACTGCAAACTTTAAAATTCTATTGGTATTGGTGTCTGTATATGATATAATATATAAATTAAATGGTGTATTTAAATGGTGTATTCTGATACAGTTACAATTTTAAAATTACAAATATTTTATTTGTAATATTTGCTTTACGTTGTTTAATAACATGGTGATGGTGAAATGTGAGTGTTATGTAGAATCCTGAATGTGATCAGTAGCTCAAATTCTACAGAAAGGTACTAGCACACATACGGTTCAGTGATGGTAAATCATGGATGTGTAGTATTTGAAAGACACAGTAAGGTACTTCAAAGAATTCCAATGTATTACAATAACTTTAATGTACACAAACCAGCATTACTGTGATTTTTCTATGCTATCATTTTTATACTAATACCGTGATATTTTATTTAGCAAGATACATGCAATCACATGGTTTTTAGCCCAGCCGCTCGCCATGTTTGGCCAGACAGTCTTGTGGACTGTGGTAATAAGCAGCTGGGTGAGCGGTGGGGTTTCTCAGCCGGTTCAATCAAATAAACACAAAGAGATGAAATGAGACACGGACTAAACCCATTAATTCGAATTACATTTTCACTGTAAGCTGTTGTTTGTGATTCTACTCGCTGTGACATCTGTAGCCCCACGGACAATGAAATGTGAAATATTGATGGAGATGAAACGTGGTGTGATTGCGTGAGTAATTGCTGCTCATTTGGATAATGTGTTTGAGTATGAGAACTGAAAGGAAATTAATTGGGAGAAAATAAGGAGCAGGCTGCTGCAAGGTGAGGGCATGTTACTTCCTGTCAGAGACATAATAGAACTGTAAGAAGTTCAGTAATTTGGGGTAATGTGGAAAGAAAAAACAGCTCAATAAGATGCAAATGAGTCTGTCCGTCTATCTATAGTGCCCTCCACTAATATTGGCACCCTTGTTAAATATGAGCAAAGGTGGCTGTGAAAATAAATCTGCATTGTTTATCTTTTTATCTTTCATTCAAAAAGTAAAACAATTGAAAGTGGAACTCACATTATTAAATTAATGTTTTTCTCCAATGCATGTAGGCCAACAATTATTGGCACCCCTAAACATTTTTATGAGTAAAATATCTCTGAAGTATATTCCCATTCAGATGGGACTGGCTTCTATGGTCAGATGAAACAAAAAAAGAGGCTTTTGGCAGCAAACCCACCAGATGGGTTTGGTGCAAATAGGGTTAAAAAGTACCCCATGCCCATGGTGAAATATACTGCTGGATTTTTACTGGCCTATTTTTCTGAAGGAGGTCCTGGACATCTTGTTCAGATACATGGCTTCTACATGGCTACATGGATTCTATCAAATACCAACAGATAAAAAAATCTAAACCTGACTGTAAAAAATCGTATAATGGGCCGTGGATCTTCCATCAGGACAATGATCCAAAACAAACATCACAATCAACACAAAAAGGTGTCTCTGAGCACAAAATGAAGCTTCTGCCATGGCCGTCCCAGTTCCCTGACCTCAACCCTATAGAAAATGAGTGGGGTGAACTGAAGAGAAGAATCGCCAACATGGAGCTGGTAATCTGAAGGATCTTGAGTGATTCCGTATGAAGGAATCTATCTGTCTTTCTATCTGTCTGTTAGTCAGTCAAAATAAAACTTAATTTGAGTAACTACATTGGATTTGTCTGTAAAAACTGTGTAATTGATAAATGTAGTTACTACTGCCATTTCTTACTGTCTTCACCTCCAGGCTGGATGATTGATGCTGATAGTCGGCCTCGGTTTAAAGAACTCGCTGCAGAGTTCAGCCGCATGGCACGAGACCCTCAGAGATACCTCGTCATACAGGTGAGAATATAACTATTTTTGTATTATATCTCACCTTGAAAATCAATACTTTTGTCCTACACCACCCATTAAACTCAATGTGATCGCAGAGAGTGATGGTGTCATTTCTGCTCTCAGGGGGATGACCGCATGAAGCTGCCCAGCCCCAACCACAGTAAGTTCTTCCAGAGTCTACTGGACGAGGAGGAGCTGGATGACCTGATGGACGCTGAGGAGTACTTGGTTCCTCAGACCTTTAATATCGCTACCTCTTCTTATACATCAAGACCACCAATGGATACCAGTAAGGTAAGAATAGCTCTTTGCTTTGTTTACAGTTTTTTTTTTCATGACCTGATAAAATATATACCTTGATTGCTGTGCAAGTCAAAAAAAAAAAAAAAGTTTAAATGTAAAGCCTTTGAAAATGTTTTTATGTTTTACTGTCTTCTGTTAAACGTACACTACCAGTCAACATTTTTCTTTTCTATTTTAATATACTGTATGTAAAAATGTAATTCCTGTAATGGCAAAGCAGAATTTTCAGCAGCCATTACTCCAGTCTTCAATGTCCATGATCCTTAAGAAATCAGCCTAAAATATATTAAAATGAAATAATCAGAATTATAAAATGTATAGGTTATCTTCCCAGAAGAGTGTCCACACTGAGGCTCTGTAGCACTTTGTTTATCACTATTTGTTGACCAGTGCTGTAAGTATAGGATCAGGACAATCTGTTAACAGCAGTTTTGAAAGGAATGAACTAGTTTGTCCAATATAATGCATATGTGGTAGATGGTAGAGGCGGTACGGTTTAGAAAACCTTTTTTTGAAACAAAAAGATATATTATACCCGGTTATCCAAAAGCATTTCATGTCAATGGAAATTGTTTAGTCAGCCATCTTTGCTTATTGAAAACACAATTGGGCAGATGGAAAATTAAATGAAAATTTAATTTAGCTGAAAATGTGTTCACTCTCAGGTCATCCAAGATGAAGAAGAGTTTTTTTTTTTTTTTTTTTTGAAAAGGAGTTAGAGACATTTAGCATCACATCAGTTGCTCACCAATGGATTCTCTAGTAAATGGGTGCCATCAGAATGAGAGTCCAAACAGCTGATAAAACATCACAAAAATCTACAAGTCAGGAGAATGAAATATTGTAGACAATATTGATAGCATGCACTTTTAACAATGTCTGAAAGATAATTAATTCAACCAAAGTCAGGGGTCCAGTGCCCAACTAAACGGAACACTAAACAGACATAAACAACTTTTATATATGTACCATATGAAATAAATAAAGCCAAAATGGTTTATAATAAGTGAACGTGAAAGTACCTAAAAACAGCAGCTTTCAATTTTGAACTTTCATTATCAATAACTCTTTATTAGCAATAGCACTTCTCATAACCCCTGTTATTGAACAAACTGCTTATGATTATGCTGTTAGTTTTCTTTGTTTTCATATCTCTAAATGTTTGTGTTTGTTTGCAATTTTTTGGTTTTCACATCAATAATGGCTTAAATATAGAACTATGCAAGCTTGTCCCCAAAGATACTGCTTACATACAGACAACTGGCCTACTCACAATCAACCCTGCAAGACCATGCTGGTGAACCATCTTCACCAGCTCGATTTGGCTTGAGAACAGCATGACTATGGTGGTCCACCAGCTAGACCAGCACAGACCAGCATAAACCAGCCTGGACCAGCATGAAATTCACTGTAATTGAAGTTCATGCTGGCCCAGGACTGGAGTCGTGTGGATTATTGTAATGGTTTTGTCAGTTGTTTGGACTCTTATTCTGACAGCATCCATTGACTGCAGAGGATCCATTGGTAAGCAAATGATGTAATGCTAAATTTCTCTAAATCTGTTTCAAAGAAGAAACAAACTCTTGAGGGTGAGTACATTTTCAGCAAATTTTGTTTGAACTATTCCTTGAAGAAAAATGGTTACTAAATCATTAAGGGAAAATAATTTTGGCTTTCATTACTCTCATACTAACCAGCCAAACCTTGACCCCTTATTTTGGAAGTAATAACTAATTTTGCAATTCTGTTTTTCCCTGAAACCTTTAGTTTCACCTTTAATGAAACTTCACATCATCTTATTGTTCCCATAGTCTTTTTTTATTGTATTATTTTATTATAT